AATTAAGAGAACAAAAGGGGGAGCGATAATTAACAGGGAGAAAAAACGGGAGGTTGAAAAAGAAAAGGAAAAAATAAAGGGAAAAAGGGGAAACGGGGAGAAACTGAGGAAGGGGGGGGGGGGGGGGAACGGGGCCGCCACCTTCTCCTTGTCCACCACCACCGCCTGCACCTCCCCGAAGGCCGCAAAATGCTCCTTCAGATCCTCGGCCGCCGTCCCGCGGGCGAAGCCGCTGACGAAAAGGCTCCGAAGCTGCTGGGAGCTCCGCTCAGCCCGGAGGCTCCGCCGCCGCCGGTGTTTTTTGCCGCGGAGGTGATCCTTCAAACTCGGCCCTGCGAGGCGGGGCGTCAAAACGGCGACGAACCGAGACCCCCCCCCCCCCCCCGGGCGCGCCCCCCCCCCCACACCCGAACGTAAGGCTTACGGTTGGCCGCAGTCACGTGGCACAGGCGGCAGCGGAACGCGCCCCGCGGCAGCGGCTCCACGTCCGGGTCCGCGTCCGGTGGAGGGGAGCGCTCCGGTTCCTGCGCGCTGCGCGCCGCCATGGCGGCTGCACCCGGAGGCGACTTCCGCTGGGATGCGACCCCAGCTTCCGCCGGATATGCTTAGACTACGCGACCAGCTTCCCCCGGAAGTCGGCGATATCTCCGATCCATACCGGAAGTGGACCGTCGCTCCATCTTGCCCTCGCTTCCATTGCGCTCACGTCGCTTTCTGCTCCTTACCGGAAATTCGTGACGCCCCCCCCCCACACACACCCGGATCTCTCCCCACAGTCGACTTTCACCGGAAGTGGCCTTTCCCAGTGCCTTTCCGTTGCGCTCACGTTTCGATCCGTTCGTTTTCTGCCGCCTTCTGCCGGAAACTCAAGCCCTTTCCGGAAGTTCCCCACTGCGCAACCATTTTCCACCGGAAGTCGTTATTCCAGCGCTTTATTTCCCTCCTGCGCACTTCGGTCCGGCGCCTTTGTGCTCCCCCCGGAAACTCGAGCCCTGTTCTAAACACCCCCCCATTTAACTCCCGCCGGATGTGCCGCAACCCACACACGCCCGGGTCCGTTCCTTTTCTACTACCCCCGGAAACTCGAGCTCGGTTCCAAAGCTCCCCAGCTCTGCCCCCGCAGCCAACTTCCGCCGGAAGCGGTCCTTCCCACCACCTTCCCCCTACTCACACACACACACACACAAACGTTCCGCTCCGCTCCCTTTCTGCACCTCCCCGGCAACGTGAGCCCCGTTTTTGCCCCCCATCTCTGTGACCCCACTTCGCTCCTCCCGTTGCTGGGGGTGGGTTGGTGTGTGGGGGGG